CCACACCACAGAACCCCTAGTCCTCAGAATCTCAGCTCTGCCCTTCCATTCTCCTTTCTTTTCAACATCACCAGGTCCTGACCTCTGATACTTCCTTGGGAATGAGGATAGGGTGAGCATTGTAGCCTGGTCCTCTATTCTGCCACTCCACTGTTAGAAAAACTGATGCCAGAGCGGATTTCCTCTTGGGAGCTCTGGAGAAGCTTACTACCCTTCTGCTGAGAGTGTCAAGAGGCTGGAGGCTCTCCAGGGGCCATTTCTAATTCTGAGTTCAAGTGCTGCCTGAGTCTCCTGGCTTCCTTTCTTATTGTTTCCCCCTTATTAAACTCCCCTTAGCAAGCCAAGCCTTTCTATCCCAACTGGACATCCCAGCTCTCCAGCCCTCAGTTCAAGTACTACTGGTCAGGCAGATTTGGGCTTCTGTCCCAGCTTTGCCACCTATTGGTCTTGTGGATGTGGGAGGTCACTTTACTTCTCTGTGCTTCAATTTCCTTGTATAGAAAATAATACTAATGATACCTATCTCACAGGGTTATTTGAAGACACAATGATTGTCCTAGTTTGTTTCTCCATTGCTGTGACAAAATACTCTGACCATTACCAACTTGGGGAGATGTATTTTATCTTATATCTCCCTGGTCACAGTTTATCCGGGAGCCCAAGGGAGGAACTCAGGGCAGGAACCTGAAGTCAGGAGCTGGAGCACAGGCCATGGAGGAATGCTGCTTACTGGCTTGTTCCCTGGCCCCTGCTCAGCCTGCTTTCTTATGCAACACAGGTCCACCTGCCCAGGGGTGGCACCACCCACAGTGGACTGGGCCCTCCCACATCACTCAGTAATCAAGAAGATGCCCCAGACATGGCCACAGGCCAGTCCAATGGAGGCAATTCCCCAGTTGAGGCTCCCTCAACCCAGGTGTGTCAAGTTGACACTAAAGCTATCTAACACAATGATGTAATGCAGTTAAAGGACCAGGCTTGGAGATGGACACATGGTCACCACATCAAATAGTAGTTTCCTGTATTCTCTGATGGCCATACCTTCAGGCCTGGCCCTGTGGTAGCGTTCTCCAGTTTTTCCTAGGGGACGGGCCAACTCAAAAATGTGGTACATGTAGTAGCATTCTGGAACCAAGCTGCCTATTTTCCTAGCTTGTCTAGTTTGGGCAAGTTACCTCACCTCTGCGCTTTAGTTTTCTCACCTGCAGCATGAGATTAGTGATCATATCTAAAGCAGTGCCCAAACACGCTTGTCCATGTGGACAAAGGGGGCATCTAGGAAGTTCTGTATCTGAAGTGCTTGCTTATTCCTACAGAGGGGCCCTTAGAGAAAACTCCCTACATGGAAATCCTGCTCCTCTTAAGACTATTTCCAAGACTTTCTGCTGACTCTAAATTTCCCGGAGGGTAGAGGAAGGGGGTGGCATGGGGTGGGGGCTTGACGAGAAGTTGAACACGAGATGATCAAAACATGATCAAATCTGTATGGAGCTGGCTTTGGCCAAACACTCAACCATGAAACAGAGTCAACCCCAACTCTCTTGAGAACTGGAGAACTGGATGCACATTGTGTGTGTGTGTGTGTGTGTGTGTGTGTGTGTGTTAGGAAAGGACCATGCCCAATTTAATTTTTTTAATCCTTGCCTCCTTCCAAATCCCTTCAGTTTATATTTTGTTAATCAAACGTGTGTTGGGACTTATTCAATGCCAGCCACACAGAAATAGTGTTGGTGGTAAAGACAGACAGGACTCAATCTCTCCCCCTGGGAATTCTTAGCAGACAGTTAGGATAGGAAACTTTTTTTCTGTAAAGGCTAGGATCTCCCTGAGCAAGGATGTTAGATACTTTAGAGAAATTTTAGCTTCAGGAACCATGAGCCTTCAGCGACTCTGGGCCTTTAGGACAGAAACTATCAATCAGCTTGCAGGCCTTGAGCCTGTAGTAGGTGCCTTGTACCCTAGGAAAGAAGGAGTCTTCATATCCTGTTTGGGGAGCTAGGAGTCCTTGCTACCTGGCAGAGAGCTAGTGGCCTTGCCATTGTCAGAGGCAGGCAAGCACAGCTGGGGAAAAATGAAGATGCAACCCTCATCAGTGACTTGTAGGGAAACTGGAAGTAGATGTTTAGATGGCATCACAGTGCTGAGATTGCTGAGCTCTGTACCTGGCAGGAGGATAAGGGAATGAGACCCAGTGCCCGGTGGTGGTGGGAGGGGGTTGGTATGGCTGAGGGGTGGGAAACAGAGGAAGGGAGAAAGCTGAGGTAGAAGGTAGCGGCTAGAGAAGGGGTAGGACTTGTGGACCTGCTTTTTATAGTGTATTAATTCCCCAATTCTTAATTTCCTGGGCTTTCTGAGTCCAGAGACAGCTCTCAACAGAAAGCATGCCAGTAGCGCCTGGATTATTGTCCTTTTTCCTTACCATTAGCCTCTTCTTTGTTTTCAGTGGATAGGGGCCCTGGAGACCCAAGAAGTAGCAATGTTCCTAGATGTATTGGCTTTTGGGGGAGCCTGTAAAAAGCTGAAGGTTTACTGTAAGATCCGAAGATTCAGGAATCAAGTCTTTGTTTGGAAGAACTCTCAAAAATCAGTCTCCTCCCTGCCACTCAGCAGACGGGAGAACTAAGACCTGGGCTGGGGAATGTTGAAAGAATTAGCCCAGACTCAGTGATGGGCCAGTGACAGGATCTTGAGACAAGCCCAGCCCTTGGGATCAGGATTTGCCCCTGAACCCCCTAGTGGCAGTACCATGAAGAGAGAGTGCTGGTAGTAAGTCGGGCAGGGCTCCCAGGCTCCTCTCTTCTATTCTGTTTCTCTGAGGCACCCAAGGGAGGATTTATATCTGCTTCTGAGAAAGGCTGATTCCTCTTGGTTTCCCTGAGGCCTGAGCAAGATTTGAGGCAACATTTCCCACCCCACCCCCATATGTTGTTTGTCCTTTGTTATGGGATACACAGTACTCCGTGGCTGAGTGGCTTGATGAATGAATTAATGGATTGGTGCATGGGAAGTGGGTATGTGGGCGGTGGATGGATGGAGGTCAGCTGGGTAAATGAATGCATGCATGGATCATTTTCCTTAGATAGCAGAAGCAATTTTCCAACCATAGCAACTGTTCTTGAAAACTATCCCCATCCTTCCCACCCTCTGACTCAGACCTGAGAGGCTTGAGTTTTTGAACACCTGCCTGTGGGAGCAGTGAAGAGGAAGAGGCTGTCACACTTTGAGTGGAGCTAAACCCTCTGCCCTTCCCTTCTCCCCTCTGAAACCTCTCGATACTGCTTCCCACTGACACGTGATCTCTGAGACCTGTCTAGGTGTCTAGGTCTCAGATCAACTGAGAATACCTGCCTAGACAGCAAAGGTAGGGAGGCCTGAGGGCAGGAGAGGGGCAAACACAGCCTCCTCACTGCAGCTCCCCTTCAAAGGCTTACCAAGGCCTGACTTGGGTACTGGCTGGGGTATATCTGCTACAACCATGGTGTCTCTTCCCAGACAAGGGGAAGAGAACCTGACCTTCTTAGTTGCCATCTGACCTCAGCAGTTCAAATTTGCCACTCCTGCTGGACAGGCCCTTAGACAGGAGGCTTCCCAGGCACAAGGATCTGACTCTTCAAGGGGTTATAGGGCTTCTGTCTTCCAGTCCTGAGACTCTACCATTCTACCCCCAAGGCTCATTGTTGCCTCTGAGTCCCAGAGCCCATATGTACTGCAGGGGTGATGATGGAGGTCTTTCACACTGAATCTCACAAGCTTCCCCCATGTGCCCCTTCTTCTACTCTGTGAGCCTGTCTTCTAGCCCTGGTCCTGGCTCCCAGGTCTGTCTGTTAATGTCCTTGACAAGTGTGGCCCCAAGATTACCCAACTGGGGTTCGACCCTGCTCTGACTGACAGAGAAGAGATCAGATTCAGCACAGACAGAATGGAAAGATGGGGCCTTCCTCCATGGTTGCCAAGTCTTTTCTCACGTATTTGTTCATTTTCCAAACAAGTATCTGTTGTGTCACTACCTTGTATCAGGTGATCCACCGGAAACCAATACTGATATGACCCCTTTTCGGGGAGATGGACAAACTAGGAAAGGAAGGTCAATGTGATGGATGTTGTATGTATGTAGGGGTGGGGAGGGAGGCGCCAGGAGCCATGGGAATTTTGGTGGAAGCAAAGCTACCTAAGCCATCCTGGAGTCAGGGAAGATTTCCTGGAGGAGGTAGCATAACATCCAGACCCAGAAGGGAAGCCAGGAGAGCAGAGGAGGAAGAAGAGTGTGCTAGAGGGAATAGCATGGGTAGATGAGAACTTCCTCTAGGCAGGAGAGCTAGGCCCTCTGCCCATCCCCTTCTCCCTCCTGAGGCTTCCCCTCCCCATCCCTGAGACCCTTGGAGGCTTGAATACCTGCTGGGGTTGCAAAGACTTGGGAGACTTCTTGGGGACTTTGTTCATAGAACTGATGCTACTTGAGTGTGGCTGAATGCGCAGTGTGATGGGCATCAGGAGATGTGAGATAGTGCCCTAATTGTGGAGCTCATCTTGGGATCATCATAGTGTTGGGTGGAGGATGATGAACAGATTGCTCAGAACTCAGGGTGGAAAATAGATCCCGCCATTCCACCTCTTCCTTTCCTGTGCCTGTCCTCCTGGAGAGTGAACAGACACAGACTGACAGGTCCATGGGTGTCAACCAGCTTTATTGGAAGCACTGCAGTCTGGTCGTGGAGAGGCTGTGCTCCTGCCACTCTCTCTCACACAGTCGCACTGATACTCCAGGCTTTGCCATGGCTGAAACAGATCTGGTGCAGAGCAGCCTGGTCCTCTTCTGGTCCTTGGTTCTCCAGGTCAGGATTCACATCCCTTTACTCAGACACAGGGCTCCCTCTGGTGCTGCTATGAACTAACTGCTGTGGCGCTTGCTCTAAGGGGAGGAAGGAGAGGCAGGGTCATGGGCTGGAATCTTGGAAAGGGGCTTGGAGGATGGAGGCAGGGCTGGGGAGGGTCAGGCTTGCCTTGGCAGAGAACCTCTTCAATCTTCGGATGATGCGTTCTACCCAGGGCTGGTCTGGGGGTGCACAGAGCTGGTAACCCCTTAGTGTGGTGAACCTGAAGTCAGAAGTCAGAGAGAATGAAGCCCTGGAACCCATTTTCCTAGAAGGCTCTAGCAGGAGGAGCAGAGGCTGGAGATCATGAATGAGGACCTGCTTCAGGGGCTTCCTTGAAAGGTGAGCTTGACTAGGAGTCCAGGGATAAGGCAGTGAGGTTGTTACCAGGGGCTGATGGGGAGATGGGGTAGACACTTTTCCCACAACTCACACAACAGCAGGCACCCTGCAGCCATCCTTGAGAAGAAGGTAGCGAAAGGCTTTCACGATGTTTCCAGGGATGGGGCGCTTAGTCACAGACATGCAGCAGTCTTCGGCATCATTAGCACCCCCCAGAGCTGGGGCTGAGATAGGACAAAGAAGGGGACAAGATCTGGAAGACCATGAGGATGGGAGACTACAGCTCTCAGTGGGTCTAGGAGCACCTGTGTATGTTCAGCGGCTGGACTGGATATTCAGCCAGCATGCACCACTATGGCCCTACTGGTCACTGAATATATTATAATACTTCTAAGTTGTTTGGTAAATAACCACTGCGCTGAGTCCCACAAATGTGCACGCAACCTCTTTTCCAGGTCTTCTCAGCTTCTACCATATTTCAGCAAATAGTTAATGGTAGTAACAATGCTGAGATAGAAAAGGCTGATGTTAATTAAGGTCCATATGAATCACTATAGAGCCAGGATGGTGACTGCTGTACCTGGAGTCCCGGCCACTAGAGAGGCTGAGACAGGAGGATCATTTGAGCCCAGGAGTTTGAGGCCAGCCAGGACAACATTGACAGACCCTATCTCAAAATATGAAACAAGGCAAACAAATAAAGCAGCTAAAGAACAACAACAAAAAAGCAACGAGTTACTAACACGTCTTCCTCCGTGTTTCAGTCGCTGCCCCTCTAATAGACACAAATGCACACACAAGGCATTTTTCACCTAGTGCTGGGACTGAAATCAGAGTTTCATACATGCAAGGCAAACACTACCAACTGAGCTATAATCACAGTTCCCTGAAACAAGTATGTACTGTTCTCTCCTTCTGCCTGGAAGCTGAGGTAGTAGGGTATAGAACCTACAGCGAGAGGGGCAGCTATAGGCCCCAGAATATACCAAGAGTGGAGCCACATTGGAATCAGGTGTGTAGGCACACACATACTCACGGGTACACACAGTGGGCACAGGAAGCACCCAGGTCCACGAAAACATCCTAAGCCTGAGCTTGTGGTATCTCTCATGACCATTGTAAAACAGTTCTGAAATTTAGGCATCAATCAATGCCACTCCCACCTTAGCATTCCCTAAGCCTTACCTGGAGAGGTCCAGAGAACCAGCAGGCTGAAGACCAGAAGTGGGGCTGCACGGGGTGCCATAGAGGGTGATCTGAGGCAGGCCAACAGAGACTGTATGAGCCTGAGAGTCTCGGGGGTGGGGTGTGTGTTCAGGAATCTGTGAGAGGCTGAGGCTCTGGAGGGTATGCAGGGGAGCAGTGGGAAGCACCCAGGCGTCCTAGTGGGGTGTGAGGGGGTCCAAGAGTGTGAGCCTGTGTCAGGCTGTGGCTATCTCCTTATTTATGCCCGGGAGCTTTCACTTTCTCTGTCTGAAAAAATTCCCCTTCGTGCCCCTGTTGGGTCTTCCCCTTTACCCCCCTCTGCCCCCTTCTTTCTGGCAAAATCTGACCCTGGCTTCCTTTTTCCCTTCTCAGAGATTTCCCGCTCTGCTTTCTTTGGCTTTAGCTCTGAGAACTTAAGCAGTCTGGCTGAGGAAAAGCTGTGTCCTGTCAGCTCCAGGAGAGGGTTTGTACTACGCTCTACTGGTGGCATTTGCACCATCAACTATAGGTCTGGGGCTCAGAAGGGGTGGACAGGGTTGTAAGGTCAGAGCAAGGAGCTGCGCTTCCTTCCCTAGGTTCATTCCCACGTCCTCACTAGTGTTGTTCTCCTTTCTGGTGAGGCCAGTGTTGAAGCAGTCTCTATGGTGCCTTCAAGAACAACCACAAGAGCCTGGGGGACCTCTGTGTCATCACAGCGCCTTCCCATCTGCCATCTGGGAACCAGTTCCTCTCTTGGAAAAGCAGAGCTGAAACGCAAGGTTCCTTAGGAGGAGGCCCAGGCCCCCATTCCACCTCTCGATTCTCTGTAATTCACCTTCCTTGGCTCCACCAGCATTGCCCCTTCCCCGTTCACCTTTTTCTCAAATCCAATGCCCAGGTCGGGAACAGCGGCGGCGGGGGGGGGGGGGGGTCCTGGCTTGGAATAGCCCCCTTCATCTTTCCCTTCTCTCAATCCTGGGAACCAAGAGGGGATTTCTAAGGAGAGGGGCTGGCCAGCTCATATTGAGACAAATTCATAAATTTCAAGGAATTGACAGATGGGGAAGGAATAAATGATTTCCCACCCTTATGAGAAAGACCAGAAGAGAAGGTCTCAAAAAGTAATTTATGTGTGGGATACTTATCCAACCCTCTGTACCCAAGCTCTGAATCCTCTATGTGCTATGCATGTGTGTGTGTATGTGTACGTGTGTGTTTGTAGTGTGTGCACTTGTGTGTATGTGCATGTGGAGGTCAGAAGTTGATATCAGGTGTTTTCATCTGTCATTTTCCACCTTAGTTTTTGAGACAAGATCTTTCAGTGATCCTGGAGCTCAACCATTTGCAAGAGCAGATGGTCAGGGAGCTCCAGGATCCTCCTGCCTCCTCCTCCCCAGCTCTAGGAATACAGGTGTGTGCCACTGAGACTGACTTTTTTGTGGGTGCTGGAGGTTGGAACTCAGATCCTCATGTTTGCACAGTAAACACTTTATTAACTGAGCTTTCTCTCCAGCCCTTAGATCCTGTTTTAAAAATATATTTTATTTATTATTTTTTATTTTATGTGCATGAATGTATTGCTTGCCTGTGTAAGTCCAATACCCATAGAACTCAGAAGAGGGTGTCAGATCCCCTGGAACTGGAGTTACAGATGAATGTTAGCCACCATATGAGTGCTGGGAACCCAACCCGGGCCTCTGCAAGAGCAGGGAATGCTCTTAACTGCTGAGTCATCTCTCTAGCCCCAGTCATCCTCTTTTTGATGGGGGGAAGGGAATGTTTTTCTACCTTTCTGACTTAAAAATTAAAAAAAAAAATTTTTTTTTTTTTTTTTTTTTTGAGACAGGGTCTCCCTGTAGCCCCAGCTGTCCTAGAACTCACTAGGTAGACCAGGCTGGCCTTGAACTCACAGAGATCCACCTGCCTCTGCCTCCCAAGTGCTGGGATTAAAGGCATGTGCTACCATGCCCTGCTTAAAATATTTTATCTTATAATTATTGTTTTTATTTATTTTTATTTTATGTGTATGAATGTTTTTTCTGCATATATGTGCACTATGTTCCTGAAATGCTCACAGCAACCAGAAGAGGGAGTCAGAGCCCCTGAAACTGGAGTCACGGATGGTTGTTAGCTGCCATGTGGGTGCTGGAACTGAACCTGTGTCCTCTGCAAGAGCAACCATTGCTCTTAACCACTGAGCCATCTCTCCAGCCCCCTTAAAATTAAAAAAAAATTACATTTATTTATTTATTTGTGTGTGGGGGGGTGGTGGGGACACATGTCATAGTATGCATGTGTAGGTCAGATGACAACTTTAGGGAAGTTTGTTCTCCTCTTCCGCCATGGACCCCACGGTTCGAACTTAAGTCATGAGGCTGAAGCAAGTACCTTTAGCTCTGAGCTATCTGTCCAGCTCTGTTTCTGACTTTTATCTTTTATCTTTGTTTCCATCCATTAATAATAATAACCGCACTTCTGATTGTCTTCTAGAATCAATATCAATGACTTTGCTGCTATTGCCTTGAGTAGCTTTCTAGTAATACTATGAGATAGTGCTTATTATTTCGTGTAATTATGTTTTACATAGAAGGAAAATGAGTCTCAGAGCACACAGCTACATAGCTAGTAGGTTCTGAACCATGATTTGAACACTGGGTCTTTTGCTGTAAAAGTTTACGGCCTACTTTCCCCCACCCGACTGTGTGCCAACTATTTGTTGATCATGGTACATGGTACATGGTTCAGAGGTGCGGAGTTATGCAGCTAGGAAAGGTAGCCAGTCTCTGCCTGGTGTTTTATCTAAAAAATGGCAATGGCAATAGATTTACTTTCCAGGATTAAATGAGGTCTCCTCATTTTACTCAGCAAGGCCTTTTTAGCTTGGAGGTTGGTACACAATAAACACTCACTGGACAGTAACCATTATTCATCCTTCCATTCTGGTATCTGACCATTATATCATCTGTCCTTCCATCTTTCTGCTGACCTACGCATCGTACAGTTCTGGTTTTTCTCTTTGCTCCAGCCTTGTTTGTTTCCCACTCTTCTTTCTCTGTGTGTTTTCTGGCAGTCTGCCCTCTACAGACTGCATCACCCAGGATAGTGGACAGGAAAGAAAAGTTGGGGTATTAAGTCCTCCAAATTCTTTGTCCTGCTGCAGTTGTGGCAAGAATAATGTAATTGTTCTCAAAGAGTAGTCTTCTGACAGCAGAAGCATCATCATCACGTGGGACCTTGTTTGGTGAGTGCACCCATGTCGTGCAATGCCGTGGAGGTCAGAAGAGGGCTTTGGATTCGCCTGGAACTGGAGTTAAGGACGGTTGGTAGCTGCCATGTGGGTGTTGGGAATCAAACCAGGCTCCTCTGCAAGAGCAGTCAGTGCTCTTAACCACTGAGCCATCTCACCAGCCCCTACATGTTGCTTCTTTAATCCTGACCTCACCTCTCAAATTACTCCTTTATTAAATCTTTCTGGTTATTTTTTAGTAACAATAATAATAATAATCTTTCTGGTTTATTTTTATTTTGTGTGAATGAGTGTTATACCTGCATGTATGTAAGTGCATTCATGTTGTACAGTGCCTGCAGAGGACAGAAGAGGATATTGGATCCATTGGAACTGGAGTTATGGACAATTGTGGTTGTTAGCCACCATGTGGGTGCTGGGATTTGAACCCAGGTCTTCTTCAAGAACAATCAGTCTTCTTAACCACTAAACCATCTCTCCAGCTCCCTGTTTGTTTTCTTTGAGATAGGACCTCACTCTGTAGCCCTGGTTGACTTGAAACTCACTCTGTGGACTAGGCTGGCCTCAGAGATCTGCCTTCTGCCTCCTGAGTGCTGGGATTAAAGATGTGTAGTACCATGCCTGCCTGGCTTTAATGAATCTTTTAAATGTCAATCAGATGGTATAAAAGGGCTGAAAATGTCAGCCCTCTCCAGTTGGGAGAGGGGACAGGGGCAAGTTAAGCTGATAATCCTATAGCCAGTAATGCTATCAACTGGGGTTGTATAATGAAACCCTCAAAAAGATGGAATTAGAGAGGTTTCTGAATAGCCGAACAAGTGAAAGTTTCTGGAAAAGGCAGCAAAGCTCTGCATGCCTTCTCCCATACCTGACCCTGTGCATCACTTTCACCTGGCTGTTCATCTGTATCCTTTGTAATGTCTTCGTATATAGTAAATCAGTTTCCCTGAATTCTGTGAGCTGCTCTGGCACATTAATCAACCCAAAGATGAGGCAGGGTAGAAGACAGACAAGACTAAGGCCGTAAGAAGGGAACGATGCCCCTAACCCTGTGATCTAGTTTGCCTTTCCTGCTGGCTGAGGGAAGGGAAGCTTCAACGTCACTAATGGCCTGCAGAGATAATGTACGATTTCCTAAAAACAACTCAAACAAGGATGTAAAAACAACAAATGAACTTTGTTTACATAGGGTCAGAACATTTGTAACCTTGAGTTTTGCTGTACTCTTTCATCACTAAATATAAACACAGTCCATCTTGGTATACCTTAGAAAACCACCTTACAATTTCATTTACAAAAGAGGTTTTTTTTTTGTCTTTATTTTAAGAGTTTTTTTTCAAGACAGGATTTCACTATGTAGCCTTGCTTGACCTGGAATTCACTGGGTAGAACATCTGCCTGCCTCTGCCGCCAAAGTACTAGAATTAAAAGCCTGTCTCACTATGCCTGGCTTAAAAAGATATTCTTTAAGATAAGGAAAATAAACCAACTCATATATTTTTACTTAAATTTTAAACTTTACTTAAATTTTAAGCTTTGTGGGGCTGGAGAAATGGCTCAGTGGTTAAGAACACTGGCTGTTCTTACAGAAGACCCGGGATCAAATCCTAGCACCCACATGGCAGCTAACAAATGTCCATAACTCCAGTCCCAGGGGATCCGACAGCCTCTTCTGTACTCTGAGGGCATTGCATGACACGGGCACACTTACCTACATACAGGCAATACACACACACATATAAAATTTTTTTTTAAATTAAAATCTTTTGCTTAATCTTTTTTTTTTTTGTCTTTTTGAGACAGGATCTCCCTGTAGCCCCAGCTGTCCTGGAACTCACTATGTAGATCAGGCTGGCCTTGAACTCACAGAGATCCGCCTGCCTCTGCCTCCCGAGTGCTGGGATTAAAGGCATGTGCCACCATGCCCAGCTAAGTTTTGCTTAATC